TTTTGTTTTGTTTTGGCCTCGGATTAAGGCAGGCAAAGGCGCAGTTTTTTAAAAATCTGCGTGTGGTCCGAAACGTTGCAATTTCTACGTGATTAATGAAAGAAAAATATTCAAGGCTGTTTATCCCAAGTGACGCGGATCGAGTTCAAAAACAGAATAGGAAAGTTTTTCTTTTTTCAGTTTCAGCGTAACCTGAATCCTACGGCATTTGACATCTGTGGTCGAGAATAGGAAAGCGAGAAATCAGAAAATCGCTGCGCCTGTTTTTCAAGTGGTAGTGGTCCCGATAGGCTTCTAGAATGCCACTTGAATAGTGTCGAATTAAATACGAGGTTTCACTTTTTTTTGAAAACACTAAACTTGAAATGAAATGATAACACTATTCGCAAGGACGTATCATCCGTTAACGGTTCTCAAATGGTTTTACTGATTAAAGTTTTATGTTCAACCTTGCTAATATATTTTGTTCATAAATACTATATGTATAATAAAATATACATGGCAACTTAAATGTAGAAATTTAATAAATAATAAGTTGTATACGAACTATCAACATAAAAATTATTTTAATATGCAATTACATTATAAACATTTTTGACAATATAATGTCTAAAATAATTAATTTATATATTGATTTGACAACTCAATTGACATATTTAATTTCGAAATATTGTCAAGTTGTCCAAATAAACTTTCCCCATTACTGCCTATCATAAAAATCTCTACTTACATCTAATTCGTTAAATCGATTGTAAATATTAAATAATTTATTCTAGTTTTTATTGTGATAGCTGACAAATAATCGAAGCATTTCTTTGTTGAATATTTCCTCCCGTGGTAGTTTACATAAGATGATCCCGTTTAAATCACAGCTCATCCCAAGTTGTGACAAACTTTTCACCTTTTGCCACGAGGGCAGTTAATTTCGAAAGTTATGCTGTAAACAGACTGTCACCGTCTGGTGAAAATGCCAGTGCCTCGAGTGCTCTTCGACTTCGAGAGGACCTGTAGATAATCTGTGAATGATATGGAAAGAAGATAGGAGAAAGAGAAATGTGTAGAGTCAAATACCTATTATTTCAATTTTTCATCCGAGTCTCTCGAGCCACTAAAAATTCTTTTAATTATTGACCGCTTTCTCAAGGATATATTTTACTATAATAATATCAATTTGAAAGGAAATTATTTCAGTGATTGTTTTAACTCTGAGATTTTTCTTCAATAAATAAAAAATAAGTTCAGTTATATTAAATATATTCTAGTATCCAAATATATTTTTTTATTTTTACGTGCGCAAAATTCTGCTACTTTCCGTATTCGCAACATTAAACGGAGTATCTTCTAGCAGAACAAAAATGGCTTTAAATTTGTTAAGGTTTCTTTTTATTTAAAAAAACAGTGAGTAAAAGAAAAAATTCAGGATGTATATATAAATATGTTAGGTACTGCCGTTTCTCAAAAGCTTTAATCCGACATATTAAAGAGAAGAATGGGAAAAGCGCGTGTTCTAGCAAGTATATGTTCAATTTGGTAGTTCCAGTACCTGTGTAGTTTTGCAAGGAGCGGCAAACGAGAGATGAGAGAGAGAGAGAGAGAGAGAGAGAGAGAGAGGGAGGAAACGAGAGAGATGGATGGATGACGGCGACGTACAAAGACGCTTCAGGGGTGACGAGAGCGTGCGAAGGGGGTGAACGGGCGGCGAGGGGATCTGCCTGCCTGATGGAGCTTGAAACTGAATTAACCATCCCCGCCCGGGGCCCGTGATCTCGTCGCAACCTCATCTCGGCGACCATTATATTTGTCTTTGTATGCTAAACATTTTGTGGAATTATACGAGACAGGTTTCGAAGAGTCGTCTCTCCCTCTACTCTCTCTCTCTTTCTCTCTCATTCACTCCTTTCTCCCCTAATCCTCCCCTCATCCTATCTCTGCAGCGTGATCGAGAAACGATAACGATTACAGGGCATTCCTCCCTTGTGCAAGATTACTTTCCAGGCGAAAAGCGATCAGTGAAATACCGTCAGTTTCCCATGCGCTTTTTTTATGCGTGTCGAAAGAATTTACGGACAACGTGACAGAAATGTGCTCGCGTTTAAAGTTTTCGAAGTTCGGAGAAATATCCTGATTAAAAATAAGCGATTAAAAATAATCGAGGTATTATTGAGATTTTTTGTGTGTTATTATATATTCGCGAAAAGTTTTTTACGTTGATCTACCATCATCTACGCGTAAAAAATTGATCTTTCGAGGTGTACATGAAATTGTATGTTTGCTTTTCATGAATTTTGTGCGTTGAAGAGTGAATAAAAAAAAAATCTTTTAATTTTTGATAAAAATTGAAACATAAACTTATTGGTGTAATCGACAGTGTTATTAAAAGAAGATCGGACGTCAAATAATTCAAAGAGTTTGTAAACGGAAGAAGCGGCGAGATAATTCGAGAACCGAAATATCTTCGCAAACAGCGTGCTACGTCATACCGCGCGATCAAAAGCTTCCTTCTCAATTCGCGGACATCGACGTGTTTCTCTGTTGGTGTCATACTGTCTGTGCTGTTATAAATCGATAAATAGATAAGATAATCTTTACCACACATTGTTACCGATAATAATACTGTCTATGATATCTTGCCGCGCGCTAGTTGTCGACTATCTCTGTGTTCGTTCTTCGAAATGGTATTTTTAAATTAATCATCGTTAGATATCCTTATTAGATAAATTTTTTCCAAAATTAAACTTTGAAAATTAAAATCTATATCTTCCACATTTAGCTTCAAATATGATTCCTCTCTCTCTCTCTCTCTGATTCTCGATTTTATTTATCTTATGCAAAGGTACAGTTATCTTGCATTGAGGATCAAGCATTTAATGCTAAATATCGGATGTGAAAACAGGGATTTAAGCAATAAAAAAAAAACAGATATTACGTGCCGTTATCTTAATAAGATTTTTTTAATTCCAACATTGCTTCAGCAACTTTTGATGGCTCAAAATGCATATGATAATGACGACTTGATGCTGTAAATATCATAAAAATCAGTCGTTTACCAAACAGGTTCCGTCAGTTTGTTCTCATTAACACAGCTTACCGTAAAGATTCATCTTCCTTGACGTTGATGTAAATTCGTGGCGAATGTATCGGTAGCATCGATATCCCAAATATCATGCTGTGCTGCATCGTTAACGCATAATGAGATTACTGGACCATACGTCGGAAAGAGTATTCGACAAGGAAGATGGATTATGCTGTTAAGAGTAAAACAAAAGTGCTAGCCCCAATTAGTAACACTACACGACGAAACAATGTAGCTACGCGCTATTAAGAATGATCAATCTGTTGACGTTAGCTTTCAAAAATCTGGAAAATGAAAATATCTTAAATTTTCTGCATATTTGTTTTATCGAAAATTATATAATCGATATAAAATTTTCATTAGAAAGTATGTAATTAATACGAAATTTTTACAGAAATTTATATATGTAATTAATACAAAGTTTTCGAAGAAATAAATTTGCTTTATCTATTGGCTACCTATTTTAAATAATGAAAGATGGACATTCATACGAAAAATTTTCGAAGAAATAAATTTGTTTCATCTATTGACTACCTATTTTAAACAATGAAAGATAAACATTTATACTTAACAAAAATTTTTTGAAGAAATAAATTTGTTTTATCTATTGTCTACCTTAATAAAAGATGAACATTCACACACTTTATTTTTACATTTTATTTTTTATCGGTATTGTTTGGAAATATTAAAAGGAAGGCACATACCTAATTCGACTAGGGTACAATGACAATCCGCGTCGTTTTGCGAAATATGCCAGTGGCGCCATGTTGTTTATACACTAATGGTTCGTGATATGTAATCCCTATCTACGGTAGGGGTGGTTTCGTGCTCGTCGATCCTGTGGTTGGCTCGCATGAAAACTTGCATGAGTCGATTACCCAATGCACCATGCTGGAAACATGCTCGTCCGTTCACTACAATGGAGTTTGTAATAACAGAATTGCCTCGATTTTCATGTGTATGTATATACGTGTCGGTTACTGTATATAGATATATGCAACGCGTGAGGCTTTATCTTCGTGTATGAAAAATTGGCATTTATCCATTGAAAACATTTATTTTTATTGTATAATTTTATGACTATAAAAAAAAAAACAAAAAAAAATTTATAATAACTGGCGCACCATAAAAATAGAAAGAGCCCTTGGTAGTTCTCAGGTATCTTTTCGTGACCTCAGCGGAGAAAAATCTTATTTAAATATTTTATGCAAATATCCGTAAATAACCGAGTTTCTTTCCCTATTAGTTTCACCGTATTTTCTTAACGTAAATGATTTATTGCTGAATATAAAAGAAAAGATAGACAGGTACAGTTGGCCGGAGCCTTTCTCCTCGAATTTTCGGGAAAGACCATTCGCCCGTCATTTATACAGCTCGTAGCACCCGAAAACTTAACGAACCCACGTTAACTTACACGAGATTACGTGTAAATTTTATCGACGAGCCAACGTATACGCGTGTATGTACGCGTGGCACACACACACACACACACACACACACACACACACACACACACACAC